TACTCGGTAAAAATTACCAAAAGAGTCTTGACAGTCTGGCTTTTCTTTTGGTAAGCGGCTGTATGAAAGATTTGGCATAACGTAAGATGGACACGGTACCGTGTCATCCCACGAAACACTACTCGATGATGAGCTCCTGGAACCAGACACTGTTGGACACCTGTAAAACCGCAATCGAGTAAAATAACTATCAAACTCTTCGGTGACTACATGATAGAAAAATAATTTTCGATTCTAAAACGAAAAATTAGGTAAAAATTAAGCTAACACTGTAGTGTAAGAAACTGGTTTTGTATTTACTGCATCTGGAGGGACATAAGAAGTGTTTTCCATCATATCTTTTCCGGTAGGAACAACTACCTCATCTAGGATATTTAAACTATAACTTTCAATGGAGTGTTCCAGTTTTGGGTTCACAACAGTTTGTGCCGCCGCAGAACCAATAACACCATGAGCGGTAGGAGATTTATCAGATTTCACAAAAGTTCTAAAAAGTGATTCTCAAATAACTGTTCCGCAGCGCTTTAAACATATCGAAATACGAGTGCCTAAGCACAAACACTTATACGGCGAAAGGCGGAAAACGAAAAAGAAATCGCAGGAGAGTGAAAGATCCAAATTGCTTACACAGAGTTCTCAGTACGAACGATATCATCGTCGTCAGACGACATACCCTTTGATTTTTTCCTGAAAGTAGTTAATGCTGAAAAGGTAGAAGTGGAATCCTACAATAAAAGATAAAGAAGTAACCATTACTCGTTTAAAAAACAAAAAAAAAATTACGACTTCTTAAAAATTTAAAAGAAGTTTTGATACTTTAAGTTCACTCAAGAAAATTGAAGCCAAACCTGTTTGGTCGTTTAAAAGGTTTTGAGCATTTTGTATCTGATGGTTTATGCTGAAATGACGAGGTCTGAAGCAAGCAGAACAAGATTTCATTTAAAACTCTCTTGATCCAACATTATTTGCCGAAGTAAGCTATTAGTTTGATTTGGCATTAATATGTGAAAAAAGTGGTAAAGTACAGAGTGCTTATAAAATTACACCAACAAATAAATTTATACATTTACCGAGACCAAGATGCCTCCTAGAGAACTACGTGGATGTATCATTATGTTCAGCCCTTTTTTGTGGTTTTTAGGACCTGTAATATCAATTTTTGTTAAGCGAAAAAAACGAAATAAGCAAAAAGTAGATTTCACTCCTTATTCATCAAGTAACATTATTTTTAAAAAACCACTCGTCCACACCCAGTGTCACAGATAAATGAAGACAAAACTTACGCTGAACTGGCGACCTGTCCTTTCTAGCAAACAAAGATATCCCAAAAAAGTGTTTTTTCCCATTTGATTTGGCACCGTTTGTACTGCTCACAGATGACGACCTAAACCGGAAAAAGTGAAGAGCTAAAAATGATAACAAATAACCTTCATTAACAATGATTTCGCTCTTTATTGAATCCATATTTAATTTGTTTTATCCTAACACTCCAAGCTCTAACGAATAAAGTTAATAAAGCAGAATTAAGAGAGCATAGAAAACATTCGGAAATAAACAAATAGATTCCCAAGTCTTCCTAACATCTCTTAAATTCAGAATACCAAGAGTCCCTCTAATTTTTAAAAACCGCAAAAAGTAAAATAAAAACTACCTTGGTTGTGTAATTCTTTTTGCCGGAAACAGACTTTGCTGATTTTCAAACAGATTTCCCTGATCAAAGCGTTCATCTTCTACCACTAAAAATTATAATGACAAACTGTTTGTAAAAAACTTTAAGCCAAGAAAAAAAATCATGTAAGATTTGCTAAACACTACGCTGTCAACTTCAGATACTAATCAACCAGAATAGCGCATTCCGTGGAAAGACCATTCAAAAACCACATTTACATTCAACAAAACCACAACAACTAGAACTATCTTCCTGAAAAACTGACTGGTTACCTCCAACACTACTAACATATATAAATTCCAAGCCAAAAAACCTTTGCATGCATAAATTGCAACAGAAAATTAGTATTAAAGCGGTAAGAATTTGACGTTTTTCTCATCAAACGGTATTTTATCATTCCACTATTTACTAATATAACTATTACTCATCAAAGTAATCTTTCAACACCTTTTGCTTAATTTATCTAAGGGCGGAACATAGTGTCACTTTAAAGCACCCGAAATGACTTGAAAATCAAAGCAAAAACTTTTCTGTGCTCCTAACAATTTTTGAAACACAGTTAACACCCTTTATTCAAAACTACACAATAAATTTCAGTTTACAACGTCAGTAGAACATATCGCTCCATCCTAAATCCCTACTGCTATCAGATGCGACGTAAAAATCTTGTGTATAAAAAAACCTCACAGGTAAGCCAAGACAGAAAAATTAAATCGATCTTTTCAAAGCATCAATCACAGCCAAAATTCGCAGTGTTAAATGTAAAGTAACGCAGAACCACTTGAACGGCAGTTCCCCTATCTTGTCTGGGAGACTTCAGCCTGCCATAAACTTCTTGGCCTACTCTCTAGTCACTGTCAGTTAACAGAAGAACTTTCTGAGACATTCATAGTAGCCCCGTAACAAAATCTTTCAGTGCAGACGAAAAATACCATTAAAAGATTCATATTTCTGTATGCCAGTTAACAAAATAAATTTGCAAACTAAAGACATCTTAAAAACATCTTCCTATCCATATTATGTCATCAATGCTTAGCTACCAGCTACCTACCAAGAGAATTAGAACGTAAAACTTCACCATCAAATCCTTGCCATCCTAATACCAGAACATAAAATTTTCAACAACGTACCAGATTCAATCGGTGTTTCTACGTTAAATTTGTCAGACTGGCCCTTATAATCCGTGCTGTTACGACCTGAATCTTTTTTCCGCCGTCTTCCATTCGCTCTATGTAGTTTTGGGCTAGATTCCTCGACATTCAAACTTCTTTGACTAGAACTGGGTGCAGGGTTCAATTGTGAAAGGTTCGGAGTGCTGTTCGACGGCATATGCTGCACCACAACATACGGTGAACAAGTAACAAAGTTTGGAGCAGCCGTGTACTTTTTTGGAGTTCTCGGTACTGTAGCAAAACCAGAACTGGAGTACTCATTACTATTCTGCTCTGCTTTCACTATTTCGAAATCAAAAGCATCCGGCCGATCAGGTGTGACAGCAGTATTTAAATCATTTCTACTTTTCGCTGCAATAAAACACAAGCACATCACAAACTCCCAACTAGAACTTCCACTTAAATCAAAGCAACTAGTTTAGGAAATTTAAGATCAAAATACTGAGTCGCCAACGTGGAACTAAAATACCACAAAGCTGCTCTGATTTTAATAACTTCATGCAGTCATGCAGTTTAATCACGTAAGATTGAACTACAATTAACTCAGGCAAATATAATAACTAACCTCATGACTTTTTCTAAAACTAATTTTCTTCTTTCTGAAGACTCCTCTACATGAGCAAACCAAATACCAATAAACCTGCACATTACTACATAAACTTAAAATAATAGAATTCTTGTAACGCAGAAAAAACTTTTTCAAGTACCTTCCCTTTATATTCAAACTACCTTATCAAATTCAGTGTATTACCTAACTAATCATTTTACCGTACTCTTTGCATGTAAAAATCCGTTAACAGCATAAGACTTACGAGTAACAGGATTCTTCGGCGTCAGTGACACCTTCTGAACGAAATCTGAAACAAATTTCTTAAAAAGATTATGAAACTAAAAAGCACACAAAAATGGTGAAGGGATAGCTATAAAGGTAGAATTCTAGTCACTTTGAAAGTGATAATAATAATACTACTGAAATGCTTAAGGAAGTACCTAATGGTTCCGATATATCACAGGCCTTCGGTTTTTTCTTCCCTTTTGGTGGATGAGGTTTCACTTTGGGTTCACTTTGGTACAAAAATGCAATTTTCCTCATTTGTAACTCAACTTCTTCTGATGAAGGTCTGAATGAAGTAGCGATAAAAAACAGAAATAAAAATCTCAGAAGAAACGCTAATTTAATAAGTCAGAAAATTCATTTGTATCACCCACTGTTTCTGTTCGCGCTCTGGTAAGTTCGAAGTATTTCTGTTATACGACGGTACTATAGTTTTACGATCCACCAGCTAAAATACTTGGAACAACAATAGGGGACTAGTGAGAGGAGAAAGGTTAAGAACGCCAGAAGCAAAATTTAACTCTAGAAACGACCAAGTCTACAGTACTCACCGTACTTGTCTGCCTTTTCTGATGCCCATTACAGTGATGGACTTTACAGAGCTCTTCAAATTCTGGAAGTAACTGCACAAACGACGGTCTCTTCTCAGGTTCGTCTTCCCAACATCTTTCTATAATAGATTTTAGCTCATCAGGACAACTGGCAGGAATCGTCTGCTTTCGAAAACAACCGATCTGCAATCAAACGACTCGGGTAGAAAAGCTGAACAACTACAAAAACTAATGTAGAAACAACAAAAAATTTCAAAGAAAAACAAAAAATCGATAAATCCATACCTGCCAAAGCACGTATCCCCTACCGTCACCCTCATAAGGTGTTAGGCCAGTTAGCATCTCCCATATTACCAGTCCAAAACTCCAAATGTCCATTGCTTTCGAACATTTCTGATGTCGAACTACTTCAGGAGGTAAATATGGTAATGTTCCAACAACACTCATCCTAGAAGAAAAACCGCTTCAGTCACAGATAAAATTAAAGCTGAAAAATAAGTCAATTTACAAAAAAAATTTCACTTCTGATAATTCTTATACTTTTTAAAAGTTTGAGAGGCTGAAAAATATGACTCCAGGCATTCCTCAACTTCACATTAATTAGCTTCTCTGAAAGAAATAAAAATCAGCCCTCAGATACAGTTCCGAACAATACGTGTGCAGCGTTGATAGTCTTTAAAAATGGTGAAACCCCAGTGCATAAGGCAATCTTTCGAGGTTTTTAAAAGACTGGAGGAAAAAAATCATTGAAAAAAATGCTTGACACGCAGTCACCTTCTGAAAACTAACTTTTTCCTCGGTTCCAATCTTCACGCAATCCATCCCTACTTTTCCTCTTTTCATGCCCAAAGGTTAAATTATTATGACCATCCAGAAATTGGGAATAGTGAGTTGAGAAAAAATCAAACATAGTTAAAAGCAACTGTAGATTTCATAAACTCACGCCGCTGTTAACACTCTGAGGTACTCTAAATCGACAAAAAGCTTGGCCTGAAGAAATCTTAAACGTAATTGAACACGAAGCAAAGACAAAACGATGCACTGGTTGACAAAAGTGATTCTTCAAAAATCTGTTGGGAAAAACCAAATAACCAAAGTAAGCACCATAAATTCATTTTTACTTTGGCGTAAGCACCTTACCACACCCCCTTACTTAGCTAAGACTGCGTAATATGAGGGTCCGCAGATGATCCAATAAAAGAAAAAAAGGACTAACTGACAGTTTAAAAAAGGAGTCTAACTGAGACGAAGTGCTCTGAGCAAAAATTATAAAATTCCTCTCCGGAAGTTCGTTGGGTATACCCACATCAGTCAAAAAACGTCTAATCAAATTTCAGTTTCTTTCTAAGAATCACCTCAAGCGCGGATGTCTTTTCAGTACTTCAGTCACTCTAGCCAAGTGTTCCTCAAAAGTAGTGGCTTTCTTCCAATTCTGCGGCTACAAAAAATGAAATTCGGCGAAAATTTACAAAACAGTTTTTACATCAAGGTTTAAATGACTTCACGACGCGTGAGTGATTCCCCAGACTTCTACAACGGGGCTTAAGACAAGCTTCTGACAATAAAGCATCGTTCTGTTTCTCCCTCTGTACACTTCTGACCAAAAATTTCCCAAGACGGGTTTTTTGCAAATCTAGAAGACTTCAGAGCATTGGCAGCGGTGTGGATAAAAATTACACGAAATCTGCTACCGTCTTCATCCTGCATTAGACTTCCTCTAGACCCACTATTTTCAGCTTCTGGGCAGTCGTGACGCTTTCATTTAATCATGAAGAAAATAAGAACGTAATATTTTAGAAGTAAAATCGGGTGAAGGGACGACTTTTAACATATTATCTTGTTTTAAGTCTTTTTATACCGTTTTTGCTTCTTCTCCAACCTTCTCGAAATTGCCAAGAAACTTTTTACTTTTTGGTTGCTTCTAATCACGACATATGTAAAAGCTCTGTCATCTTTTTGCACTTCGCAAGTACAGAATATGTCTTTAAAAATGTAGTAACATCATTATTTCAAACTATATAGGTGAAAAGTTATCTTAACCTGAACAGCAAATTTTTCAAAATAACTTTCATTAATCTGGCACACTGATGGTCCTAGCGGGCTGAGCGCTTAGCTACTTTTCTGATGAACGATATGACGAAAGGCGCAGCAGCAAACAGACAATTCGGCAGCGTAGCGTAGCGAAGCTGCCGCAGCCCCATACTTCCAAATATTTACCTTGGACTGCTTAAGCAACAAAAACTTCGTCATGCGGTGGCAGAGCTTCAGTGTTCTGCTATCAAGCCCAGCAAAAACCCAGCGCAATCAAAAGTTCTGTACGATTCTGAGGTTGACTCCAACACAGACCAATTTTTGGATAACCCTTCAAATGAAGAGCGGCATAGGCCACCTTTTTCAGGATGCAAGAAAAACAAACACTTTCTCATCTAGATACTACGCTACATTTACAAAAAACATTTGGAGATGGCAATCTTTCGGTATCGAGAGCTACGAATTGGAATAGGATGTAAAACTGAAAGAAACCCATTATTTTTACAGTAATCCCACATATTATACAATGGGGAAACCATCCAGGGCCGCTTCTGAAGGCCGCGATAGGCAGCCACAAATATCCCATATGCTTTAAATGTTGAAACTTTGTTACAAAAGTTATGGTTAACTTCCATAAGATTCACTATTTATTATTCAACAGAGTTGTAAGATGTAGCCTTCACTCTAGCGTCTTCTATTTCTCGCATTTTCTTTTGTCAAAACTATGTAGCTAGCATACATTTTGAAGCCGCAAAGAAATTAAAGAACTCAATGTTTTACCTGGACATCCGTTGAATTGCGATTTTTTCTAAAACTTTCTCTGTTTCTAGTGAACTGCAGCACGTAAATTCAAAGGAAAACAACAAGTCGGGCTTCCGTTCGCTTATGTAACGAAAACTTTAACAAGTACAAGATAGAGACAATTCCAGATTTAAGAAGTGAAAAATGCTGAAGTGAAGGCTACATCTTACAACTCTGTTGAATAATTAAGAGTTAATATCATGAAAGTAAACAACTTTTGTAGCAAAGTTTCAACATTTAAAGCATACGGGATATTTGTGGCTGCCCGCTGCGGCCTTCAGAAGCGGCTTCGGATGGTTTTGCCACCGTGAAGTAAATGGGAGTACTGTAAAAATAGTGGGTTTTTTTCAGTTTTACATCCTATTCGGGCTCATAGCTCTAGATACCGAAAAATCGCCACCTCCAAATTTCGATATTTTGTAGAGCAAAAAATCCTGCACAAAGTATGTTTTTTTTTGGAAAATTTAAAACTTCGTTTTTTTATGTTTGTTTGAAATTTTGTTTTTATTGTATTTTATTGACCTTTTGAAAGAATTAAAATATTAAATATCTCTTTGAAAGACCAGAACATAGCAAATTTAATGAATAAAAAAGCAGTCAATTTTATTTAAAAGAAGCTAAATTACAAGTCTGTAAAGATAGGCATATCAAGTGG